GGAATAAAAGAATCAACCTGAAATGGGACTCAAACCCACAATGCACAACTCCTGATTTGGCAGATTGTTTGATCTGGATTAACTATAAATTTGGTTTAGAGATAATGTTGATTTAGGTAAATTAAAATTAACATTAGAAAAAATTTGAATGTCTTGAATTATCTTTTTGTGCAAGCAAAAATCAACAGTTATTCTGTGTTAAAGAACATCAATTCCTGTCTACCTGACCAATAAAATTGTGCTATTCTGTACAGTGTGAGTATTGAATTCTTAGCAAGCATGAAACATAATTGAGTTTTCCAGGGTGCCAAGGATGCATCTTTGATCTGTTTATCTCAAAACCAGATTGCTCATTTGTTTATATTTTTATAACAAATATTTTTACTTATGTTGTGGATTTCAACAGTAAATAAATCATGCAACATTTAATTTATGTTTGTGTATATTAACTTTATTTTAACATATTAAAAATGTTGAGTTCAACAACCCAAACAACTGAATATATGTAAATTAAGAACTAAAAATGCTAGAATTTTTACCAGCAGAAAAATGTTAATAAATGACACTAACAAATGTTTTTGCCCATTTTAAATGATCATCATCAGGCTAATGGAACAGGAGAAAATATTTGCTAGTGTCATTTATTAACATGTTTCCACTGGATTTTTGGTTTTTTTGGTGCTTAATTTTAAAATGTTGATAAACATTTTTAATATTTATAGTTTAATTATTATTTAAACATAATATAAATATGATGCATTTGATATTTATTCTTAAGTCTTTGTGTCCTTACTATACAATTTTATTATTTAACTGTCTATTAGGACAGATTGTATTACTAGGACTTATTATACCAATGTGCAAGTCCTGCTTTGTTTTTGCAGGACTTGGACACCGGTATAATAAGTCCTAGTAATACAATCTGTCCTAGTAGACATTTAAATAATAAAAATGATGCATTTGAATTTGCATTATATAAATGCCATAGACATAATTTTTAAATGTTTTGAATAATGAAAACATTAACACAAACAAAACATCAAATATTAATGTATTGAAAACATATTTAAAATTAAAACTTAATGTAAAACACTGTCTTGAACAAAACTTCAGGATGAAATAAAACATCATTAATATTAATTTTCAATTTAAATGAAAACAATATTAAATAGTATCAAGATATACTAAGTTATGTATCATTATTTACTTATTCACAATATACTTACAAATGTTTACTTTGCATTAGCTGAAAAAAATCATATTTTTTTTATTTAAATAATTACCGACATTCTATCAAGAGTTGACTGCATCCAATATTTATATGTTTACTTTTATATGCAAAATATCATATTTAAAATCAAAGCAATAGTCAAAGCAATATAAAAGTTACATGAAGTAGAAATTGCATTAATGCTAATTAAAGCAGCAGAATTTGTGAAAGAAACCAGAAAAATAATAGAACAAGGAAAGAGAACAGGAAAGTAATGAGGATAAGAAGATTGCAATCTTTCCATATCCTCCAACCTCATTTTCCCTGGTCACTTTCTGCAGTGTTGGCCAGTCAGGAATTATTTCAGCCAATGACAGTCTCCGACTGTCACGGGAACTGCGGCGTTCTTCATTCTACAAACACAGTATGAATAATATTCATTCACAAACATAAAATATTCTACTTTGAATATACCTAGGAAACAAATGTTACAAGACATTTAACATTAATTATACACAATAATAACACTGAAGCAATATCATTAGTAATAACAATCATGCACAATTATATTTAATCATTACATCTATAGACTATGTAATATTCAAAACATTTAAAAACCAGCAATAAATAATTTATATTTAATAGTTTATGGAAGAAAAAATGCTTTCTTCATTTTTATAAAGATAATACTTTGAAATATACTAATTTAAATTCTTTAATAAAATATCTATTGAAAGTATCAAAGACTTAAGCTTTACAAAAACATTGATTTATACAAAAAACAATTACTCTGAATTAGTTAATTTTATTTGAAAGTTTTATTATAGTTGTGATAAAATAATGAAATTTGTTAAATATTTTCAATAAGATATCTTAAGTAATATATTGTATTGTTACTTCGTAAAAAGTAAAATAATATATATCAAACTCTAATTAAAAGGTTGTCTACTCAGTCACAGTATAAATATATTATTGTAAGAAAGTAGCCAAAATAAATTAACAAAAATAATACTTGAACTTAGTATTATATTCAAAAAGATGAGAAAAAATGATGAATTCTGGGAACCAAATTAAATTTTAATTCAGTAACATTTTCATTCTTTTATAAGATCATCTTTTATAGGATCAAGCTGTAAAATTAAGTGCTACAATTACTATATCAGAACTGGTAGTACTGAGATATGAACAGATTTCAAAAATTCAATTTGAACATCATTCTTCAGTTCAAAATATTTTTTGGTTCTACATTAGACTTATGTAACTTAATGATGTCTATTCAAAACAGACAAAAAACACTTGTTTTAAGTAAATATATTGGACTGGTTTTGGTGTTATAGGAAAATTACTTAATACAAAGTTATTAGTGAGCAAAAAATATGTTTTTAGAGGTTTTTGAGCATGCCATGTTTAAATATTTGGTCCCATTTTCCTCAAAATTTAATTGAGTGGTCCATTGCCATCTCATATTTGTTTGTGAATGGTAAATTAGAAATTTAAACCAAACAATATGCCAAATTATTGGGCTATTATATCACTAATTTAATGATTAGAAACTAATTAATTTGTCTAGTGGTAGGTGATTATGCCACTATCTCGTGTTAATTTTAATAATTATAATAAATTAATTTTTTAATTTTGAATTTCTGGAATAAAAGAATCAACCTGAAATGGGACTCAAACCCACAATGCACAACTCCTGATTTGGCAGATTGTTTGATCTGGATTAACTATAAATTTGGTTTAGAGATAATGTTGATTTAGGTAAATTAAAATTAACATTAGAAAAAATTTGAATGTCTTGAATTATCTTTTTGTGCAAGCAAAAATCAACAGTTATTCTGTGTTAAAGAACATCAATTCCTGTCTACCTGACCAATAAAATTGTGCTATTCTGTACAGTGTGAGTATTGAATTCTTAGCAAGCATGAAACATAATTGAGTTTTCCAGGGTGCCAAGGATGCATCTTTGATCTGTTTATCTCAAAACCAGATTGCTCATTTGTTTATATTTTTATAACAAATATTTTTACTTATGTTGTGGATTTCAACAGTAAATAAATCATGCAACATTTAATTTATGTTTGTGTATATTAACTTTATTTTAACATATTAAAAATGTTGAGTTCAACAACCCAAACAACTGAATATATGTAAATTAAGAACTAAAAATGCTAGAATTTTTACCAGCAGAAAAATGTTAATAAATGACACTAACAAATGTTTTTGCCCATTTTAAATGATCAGGCTAATGGAACAGGAGAAAATATTTGCTAGTGTCATTTATTAACATGTTTCCACTGGATTTTTGGTTTTTTTGGTGCTTAATTTTAAAATGTTGATAAACATTTTTAATATTTATAGTTTAATTATTATTTAAACATAATATAAATATGATGCATTTGATATTTATTCTTAAGTCTTTGTGTCCTTATTATACAATTTTATTATT